CTCTGACTCAAGCAATTAGCCACACAACTATATTTTTTGAGTAAATTTAAACACTCTAGTGTTACATATTCCTTAATTAATACAATTAGATGAATTATTTTTATTTATTTTTTACAATTTTAATACATGTTGCAGGTAGAATTATATATATAGACAAAAAGAGAAAGGGGGTCAGAACTCGCACATAAATTACACTTTCAATCTTAATTGTTGATTTTATTTATATCTCTAACAACACTGATTTATTAAATATGTAAATCATTAAATACAAGTGAATTAATGGCTAAAATTTCTTTTTCTTATTGATTATGAACATATTATATATGAATACGTTCAAAATAAGCTGTGTTTTAAAAAATAACACATATACTAATAAAGTCCAGCACAGTTGGTAGATAGCTGAGTTCCTTAAACATATTGATATAAGGGTTTGATCCCTGGCCGTGTGTATGAAAAAAACTTTGTTGGAAAAGATTTATCCACTTAATGTGATCTCTTATCTCAAAAAGATTATTTTAGTGTATTTTAATTTTTAATACAAACAAAACTTTCATGGATGGTATCACCAAATACATAGATCAAAATCAAGTGATAAGAATTGTTCTAACTTAATAAATGTTCTTCAGTTTGAGTTTTGAACTTTGTTATCGAAATTAGAAAAGATAGGTAGTTCCTCCTCAAATAATAAAAACCACAAGATTAATGGCAACAAGATAACAAAAGAAAAAAATTAGCTACTCGCTGCACAAAGGCATTAAATGCCCAAAAAAACAAATGATATGAGACCTCTTTTTTTTAATCCAAATGAACCTGTAAACACTCATTTTAATTTTAATTTTACCAAATTTGTAATTAAAAAAAAGAATAATTATTTTTGAAAAAATATGCTTTCTTGTTAAAGTGATTAGTCTATAAGTATTCTAATGTCTATTATTCATAAAAAAAATTAAAATTATAATAAATTTTTCCTTGATAAATTAAATGTGAAATTCAATTAACAATAAATAAAGCAAAGATAAAATTAGAAAAAATAATTATTTTATTTTTTCTCTTGACTTAATGATAACATTATGATTATTATTACATAATTTTAAGCCTGATGCTGAATTATTATCATCACTAACTACATAATTTATTTTTCATATATATATATATATATATATATGATCAGTTAATGGTGTTATCCATCTTTTTAACAAGTTCAATATTCCATAACTATAAGTTTGCAAGAACTTGAAACATTTTTATTTCAATGAAAAAGCACGCATGTCAGACATTTATATCAATATTATGATTGCAGGATTTCATTCATTTTTTAACTCCTTATAAGTATATGTGTTCCGGATAGCCCAAATGCTGAAGCGGCCCAGCTATTCAGGCCCAATCCTTAGCCCCAACCCGTGTCAGTCCTAAGGGCTGACGTGGACCCTCACATCCTCCAACCTTGCAGCACGTCCAAGGGATACACCGAAATGTCCCATCTCGAGATGCTAACCACCGAAGGCAACCGCCACAGGCACCACAAAGGGAAACTGCCCCTTTGCCCAGTGTTGACAGCGCCAGATGCAGAAGGCGCAGCGCTGCCACAATGGCAGCGCCAACCACGCCCAACACTGCCATCATGGGAGTATATCCCAAGGAGGGTTGACCCCCTCCTCACCAACCCATACCATCTTCCTTATAAATAGCCCCTATGGGCACAGCTTAAAGGACACTTTATGTATCATTATACTGCCCATTTACTTTGAGTCATATTGTCATCTTCACTTACCTATTGCTGATTATCCTGCTATTGCTTGGCCTAATACCTCTTAGCCTGGTCTGTACCTAAGCTAAGTGTATCTCCCATACAATGACTCATCCCTAAAGGGAACATAGTGGGTTTATAGATCCCAACGGTACATTGGCGCCGTCTGTGGGAAACTATAAACTTCTATTCCCATTCTCCTACCAAAGATCCATCTGACGGATTTTTCCATTTTACTACCAAACAACCGCCGGACGCCTTTCGCAACTGAACATGGTTGTCACCACCAGGAGAGCAGAACAAGCCAGAGCAACGACGCCAGAAGGGCACGTACAAATAGTACACTCAAACTCCCAGCCATCTATGCGTTCAGCTCCAGCTGAGCGAGCCACGGGAGAGGCCCTTCCTCCTGTGCTACAGTCTGTCGGTCTGCGGTTGCCAACGACTGGCGCTAGGATAGCCCAGCAGAATCATCGTGTAGCCATGCGTGAAATGCAGGGGGAAAACTTGGTCCAGAACCAACCACCACCCCCAGGGGTTCATTTCAGAATGCCATTTCCCACAGCTGATCCACAAGTTGTCTACCTCGCCCATCGTCCTCTACCGGCCCAAAGTCAGCCTGTAGCAATGTACAACGACCATCGAGTTCCTGTGGTCGTCCCATATCCCCTAGACCGTACACGCATAACATGGCTGCCCCATTTCAACGACCCTACCAGACTGGCTTCCCATTTCATGGATACGCCATGCAACCCCATAATATAGCCGTTCCTCAACCTCAGGCATCTTGTCCAAATCCTGATCGACAACCTTTTGGCGCTCAACAAGCTTTTCACCAAGCCCCAGCCCTCTCATACTCGGTAGAAGCCCCGCAAATTCCTCATCCACAACCAGACCAACATGTACACATTCCCAATATCATGCTAACGCGTGCTCACACGTCAGGGCGTAACAAACCTTTGACTGACAGTTTGAGGCTGACTCCCATACCCCTCGGATTCAAGGGCCCTTCTAACATCGCCACATATGTTGGCGACGCCGATCCTTTTGAGTGGATCCAGAAATTTGAAGCAGCGATGACGCTCCATGGCGAAACGGACCTTCTCATGTGCAGAACTTTCCCAACACTTTTGGGAGGGAGAGCGCTGACATGGTACACCACCCTACCAACTGGAAGCATCGCGTCCTGGGACGATCTAGCAAGCAAGTTCCAGTCCCACTTTGCAACTAGCCGCCCTGTGCCAAAGTCCGTCCATTCCCTTGAGAAGATTCGACAACAATCGGGCGAGTCCCTTAGATCCTTTCTTGACCGTTTTGATAAAGAGGCCCTACAAGTGCAAGGCCTAGACCCAAAGGTCCAGGTACATATACTCCTATCAGGCTTGCGACAAGGAGAGTTCACATACGAACTTGCTCGTCATGAGATTGCTGACTTAGAAGAAGTCAGGAAAAAAGCACAAGAATTCATGAGAATTGAAGAATACAAAGGGAGCTAAGCTGGTGACTCCCACACTGATGAAAGTAGAAAGGGTTACCAAAAATCCACCCGTTCCACTCGCCCTTCAGGGCGAGACCCGTCAAAACGCCGGTCACACAGTGTCCTACAAACTGAATACAAAGAGGAATCCAAGAGTAACTAACGGCCCCCGCAGCCAACCCGCAAAGCCGCAGCATATTGCAAATTATACCGCAGCAACGGTCACAGCACGGAGGAATGCAGGCGTCTCAAGGATGAGATTGACGAACTCATCAAAGGTAGTACTCAAAGGCGAGGAGGTGATAGTGCGCGTTTTTCAGGAAATGGAAGGCGACACCGTGATCGTAGCAAGTCCCCAGATAGGAGGACGACCAGACAGTCCAACACTCGATCCCGCCGCGAACGAGACAGCAGAGAAGAGTCACCACAAAGAGCTAGAGCTCAAGCAAGCCCAAGCCGTGGAGGAAGGCGCGGGGAAGAAGAAGAAGACTCTGCTGTCATCAAACACGGAGTGATCAACATGATCTCTGGCGGATTGAGCGAAGGAGGAGAAACTTCGAACGCCAGAAAGAAACACTTAAAACAATGCTTGGCGGTTGCAGGCAAAGTGATCAGCAAAGTAAAAGACGAGCGTGGTCCAGCCAGGCCCAACATCGTTTGGGATAGCAGCGATTTGGGCGACGTTCTCCCAGGACATGACGACCCGCTCGTCATTCAAGCAATAATTGCCAACTTTGGCGTTAACCGCGTATTTGTTGATCACGGCAGTTCCGCCGATATCTTATTCTTACCATGTTTTAAGGCGTTAGGATTTACGATTAATGATTTAACTCCTGTCGCAGGTGAACTCTCAGGTTTCAATGCTACCACCACTAAGCCACTGGGAGTGATAAACTTATGTCTCTCCCTTGGAACGCCGCCAACATCGCGGTCTGCAGACATCCAGTTCCTGGCGCTCGTCATGCCATCAGCTTACACCGCCATTCTTGGCAGAAGGATGTTCGCCGCCTTTGAGGCGAGCGTCTCACACCCTCATTTGGCGATGAAGTTCATAGCAAGAGATAATAAAGTCGCCACAGTGCGAGGAGATCAAATAGTAGCCCGGAGCTGCTATAACATATCCTTGAGACCAATGACCAAGGTTACCTTCAAAGAAGAGATGGCACCCCAACAGAAGGCAACCCCGCCTGCAGGAAAAAGTCCCGGCGAGATGGGGAAAGAGCACAGCCAGTGCTTCTTGGTAGAATTCGACGCCAGAGACGACCCAAAAGTGGAGCATGCCAGGCCCACGCCAGATGGAGCATTGGAACATGTTGTGTTAGGCGAGGCGGATCACCAGACGACAACAATCGGGGCGACCATTGATCCAGAAGTCAAAGGCAAGTTGATCCAGCTGTTAAAAGATAACAAAGATTTGTTTGTTTGGAAACCGTCGGACATGCCAGGTATTGACCCCAAAGTATGCTGCCACCGTTTGTCGGTGGATCCCAAAGCAAAGCTTGTTTCACAGAAGAAGAGAAAGTTTGGCTTTGATCGCCAGAAAGTCATTGATGAGGAAGTTAAGAGACTCCATAACGCCGGGTTCATTAGGGAAATCAAGTACACAACCTGGTTGTCCAATCCAGTATTAGTAAAAAAGCCGAATGGCGCGTGGAGAATGTGCGCCTTAACCCCAGCAAATGTGTTTTCGGTGTTCCCGCAGGAAAATTCCTAGGCTTCATGCTTACGGAGCGAGGTATAGAGGTCAACACAGACAAATGCAAGGCAGTCATTGAAATGCGAAGCCCGCAAACAATCAAAGAGGTTCAACAACTAACTGGAAGGTTAGTAGCTCTCACCCGTTTTCTGGAAAATTCAGCACATAAATCTCTTCCCCTTTTTGGCTTGCTTAAAAAAGGGACCACCTTCCGGTGGTCGGAAGAATGTGAGAAGGCCTTCCAGGAGTTCAAAAGGGCTCTCTCTTGCCCACCAGTACTCGCCAAACCAGACCATGTAGAGACGTTGTATTTGTACCTCACCGTAGGTACTGAGGCGATCAATGCAGCCCTAGTCAAAGAATCGAAAGAAGGACAAAAGCATGTCTACTTTATCAGCAAAGTCTTACAAGGAGCTGAGCTTAGGTACCAACAAGTTGAAAAGGTTGCCTTGACACTTATCTTTGCCGCAAGGCGGTTAAGACCCTATTTCCAGTGCCATTCAATCACTGTCAAGACAAATCAGCCAATCCGCCAAGTTTTGCATAAGCCAAACCTAGCTGGAAGGATGATGTCCTGGGCGATAGAACTGTCAGAATACCAAATTGTCTACGAGCCAAGAACCGCCATTAAAGCTCAAGCCCTAGCTGATTTCATCGCCGAAATGACGCAAAGCCCTTCTACTGAGAATCAGTCAGCAGAAACGCCCTCATCTGGAATTTGGAAACTATATGTCGACGGCTCATCAAACGCCAAAGGATCAGGCGCTGGAATGATAGTAGAAAATCCAGAAGGCGTGGCTGTTGAACATTCCTTGTCTTTTGAATTCAACGCCACAAATAACCAGGCTGAATATGATGCCATGATAGCTGGCCTGCTCAAAGCAAAAGAAATGGGCGCCAGACGTCTCAAAGTCTTCAGTGATTCCCAGTTGGCAACCTTTCAGATCTCCGGCGAGTACCAAACCAAAGGACCATTAATGTGCACGTACCTAGAGAAGGTCAAAGAATTGATTGGAAGTTTCGAAGACGTAAAAGTGGAGCATATCAGGCGTGCAGAAAATACCCGGGCGGATATTCTCGCCAAGTTGGCAAGCACAAAAAGCCCATGGAACAACCGATCAGTAATTCAGCATAACATGCCAAGCCCATGCATCGTGATGAGCATTTCAAATTCGCCAGATGAGGCCGCCGAAGAAACCTGGACAACGCCCATTATCAATTACTTAGTCGAAGGAATTCTGCCCAGTGACGGGAAAGAAGCTCGAAAAATAGTGCGATAAAGCGCGCATTTCTGCCTAATGCAAGGGAGGTTAAACAAGCGTGGACTCTCAACCCCACTCCTAAAATGTTTGAATCCCAATGACGTTCAATACGTGATAGAAGAAATCCATGAAGGAATTAATCGCCATCACATGGGAGGTCACTCGCTGGTAAAGAAATCACTGAGAGTAGGGTTTTACTGGCAAACCATGGAGCGTGACGCCCATGAGCACGTCAAGAAGTGCGAAAAGTGCCAGAGATTCGCTGATGTACACAGAGCGTCACCAGAAGAGTTGACGTCAATCACCTCGCCATGGCCTTTCTATAAATGGGAAATTGACATCTTGGGTCCTTTCCCCATGGCGCCGGGACAAGTCCAATGGTTGATTGTCAACATTGACTACTTCACCAAAAGGTAGAGGCAGAACCCTTAGCTGCAATTACGTCCAAAAAAGCAAGGAGGTTCTTTTGGAGAAGCATCGTCTACCGATTCGGTATTCCCGGAGAAGTCATTACAGACAACGGCACTCAATTCACCGATGCCAAATTTCGTGAACTGATGAGTAGTCTACAAATCCGACACCATTTTGCCGCAGTGGAACACCCTCAATCCAACGGATTAGTGGAGTCGGCCAACAAAATGTTGGGAAAAGGAATCAAGAAGAGGTTGGAAGCACACAAAGGAGCGTGGTTAGATAACCTTGACAACGTCCTGTGGGGATACAGGACAACCGCCCAGTTATCCACCAGGGAAACGCCTTTCAAGCTGACCTATGGTGTCGAAGCCATGATCCCTGTTGAAATAGGCGAACCCTCCTGGCGACGAGAACACGTGACTGAGGTCGCCAACACCTAACATTTGAAGGAAGCACTGGACTTGCTGGACGAACTAAGAGGGTATGCCGCCCAAAACGATCGCCAGACAAAAGAAAGATCAGCTACTTATTACAACAAGAAGGTCATCCTCGAAGTTTCGAAGAAAAAGATCTAGTTCTTAGAAGAGCAGACGTTGGAAACAAGAACGCCCGAGAAGGAAAGCTCGCCCCAAACTGGGAAGGGCCTTATCGAGTAGCAAACAAACTGGGGAAAGAAGCTTACTCCCTCGAGACACTGGATGGGAAGGCGATCCCAAGGGCGTGGAATGCGGACAAGCTCAAGAAGTATTATAGTTAAATTGCCATGTAACATCGCCTGCACTCTTTTCCTTCCTTATGATTTTGTCCCAATGGGTTTTACTGGGGAAGGTTTTTAACGAGGCACGGTTCCACATTTTCAATAAAATCGAACTCCAGGTCACCAATTCCCTGTCAAAATTGATCAACTAACGGGACGGTTCTCACCCCCGCCTCAGTTGGACTGGGATGGTTCTCACCCCCAGCCAACGCCCGACTAACGGGATGATTCTCACCCCCGCCACAATTGGACTGGGATGGTTCTCACCCCCAGCCAACGCTCAACTAACGGGACGGTTCTCACCCCCGCCTCAGTTGGACTGGGATGGTTCTCACCCCCAGCCAACGCCCAACTAACGGGACGGTTCTCACCCCCGCCACAGTTGGACTGGGATGGTTCTCACCCCCAGCCAACGCCCAACTAACGGGACGGTTCTCATCCCCGCCTCAGTTGGACTGGGACGGTTCTCACCCCCAGCCAACGCCCAACTAACGGGACGGTTCTCACCCCCGCCACAGTTGGACTGGACAAGCCTGCGGTCATGCCAACCACGGACAAAAAGCGAAGAAAAAACTAAGCCTAAATCTATATATTTGTTGTAACTGTCTCAGCATCTTGCGCTTGATCGGTAACGCCCTTCTCAACAGCTTGAGCATCCACCGCCTGAGAAGGATCAGTTGGCACGCCACGCCCAGTATCGCCCTCATCGTGATCATCATCACTATCAGCATCAGTGGTTGGAAGCATTCCCCGCGCACCCTCATCGTCGTCAGTTTCAGGCGCCACCTCAACCACCCTGATGGCGTCACCCTCAAGATGTTGGATAATCTTGCCATCCTCCACATCATAATCGGGAGTGAAACCAGTCAAGTCGGTGCCAGGATACCTGACGGAAACTTGCTGAAGGGCGTTATTAAAAGAATGGTACATCAGGTTAGCAAGAGCCTCCTCCAACTTTTC